GCGCGCTTCATGCAATCTTTAACTATGTCTGTTGAATGTATTAATGAATGGGTAAACGACGCACATAGTCGGTAAGAAAAATATAGGGCAAAACAAACACAAATGAAAAATACAGCAGCTGGTGCATCAGTCTACCTCTGCTTAGTTCATCTGCAAATATTTGAAAGGCTCGGCATGGATTTAAATTCACTTCTCCTGGAACAACTTTCCTGATCACAAATAACCCCACAGCATGACGCTACCACCAACGTGCTTTTGGATAATGTGCAGTTTTAAAAACTTGGTAGGGATGATGCTTTTTGTTCACTGAAATAGATGGATTTATACCCAGATTATATGCAGAACAGGAGGGAATATTCAATAATTTAGTGATTTCTGTAGGTTAAGCTGGATTTATCTGAGTAAAATGGGTAAACACCAATGCTGAACATATTCTTTACATTTTTATTTTTAGAAAATCTTTAACTTTAAAATTGTTCTTCTACTTTCCAGTCTTACAGGTCTTAGCTTTGGTCAAGTTTATCAAATCCCAATAAAATGCAGCAAAGTTTGCAGTTGTGGAAGCAATAATAATACTTTAGCCGATCACTGTTTTCTAAGTAAGCTCAATCTCTACATTAATCACTTTATTAAGATTGGATATTTATTAGGGCTGCAACTAACGAGTAGTTGCAAATCAATTAATCTTTTGATAATTAATTTTTTTTGATTAATCGATTGATAAATGGATAGCCAGAAGTTCCTTAAAGAAGACTTTTTATTAAATTAAACCGCGTGAAATTAAACTTTTTCACTTCAGTAGTTCTGGATAAATAAATGCAAAATATCTATATATTGTTTTTACAATTTTGATATAATTACTGCTCTAATTGGTTTTTATGTCAGCTAAAGGCATGTTTTAAAATCTCAATTTACTATACAGTTAATGATTAACTGATTACAAAATTAGTTGACAATTATTTCAATAAACGATTAATCCGATCAACAGTTTGAGCCCTAATATTTGATATCAAATACAAGAAAACCTGGAATTTTAAACAGTTTTTCAGATTTGGTTCAGGTAAACAGGTTCAGGGACAGCAAAATGCTGGGGAAGAGAAATGTACAAAAGAAACTTTTTTTGTTTTTTTTTGTGAAGTTAATCTCAGAAGAATCTTTTAAATCATTAATAATTTAAATCATTAATTAAATACACTGTTCATTTTCACTGCCAAGCTGCTGCTCACTCCATGTCAGATAGCTGTATGTAAAGAAATTTCGTTTTGTATACACTCTATACAAAAGGACAATAAAGTTTGCCTAAGTCTAAGACACTAGACAAACTGATGTCTATCCGCTTGCATAAGTTTGTTGGGTTTTTGAACTAAGATAAAATATGACTTTAATGATTAAACGTTTAATTTGAAACACTAAAAACAGCGACCATCCCAGATGCCGTACATTATGTTTGTGCTTCAACCGTCTGAAGTTTTATGAGAGAGAATAGAGATAGGACCTGGTTTGAAAGCCTGATACGACACGTCGCTGTTCAAACAAATCCCGACAAGATACCAGTTTCGACAGTAAATCAGTGACAACTGCCACTGCCTCAGACATACAGCTGGCCAACCTGTTTATGTTTATTACTATGTAGTAAATGGATCAGGCTACTGCCTTTTTTTGGCCTGTCTCATTTCTAATAGAGAAATTTACGAGATTTCCCAAAATGAATGTCTCTCACTCTCACTGGGATGTAAACAAAAGACAGCTTCTTTTTAATTGTTTTAAATTTAACTCCAAATTATTTCATTTTTTAAGACATAATCTGAATTAGTTTAGGTCACTGAGTCTCAGTAACTGTAGTTATTTTTGTCAGACGGAACACTTGTTTTAATTAGCTGGGTTAGGCTAAGATGTTAATGTAGTTTTTTTAATCGTATTTGTATTATAATCATTGCCATCTATTGCGATGTTCTGGTTGCATTTGTTTATCCTGCATTGCACCTTTTTTAAGTGATCTTTAGATTAATCCTGATTAATTGGTTAGTAAGATGACCGTCAACAAATTTGATAAAAAAATTGAATCCTTACCTAAAGTAATAGCCCATAGGCAGATAAAAAATGCCATTTGGAGACACAATAATCTACTAACTACTAGTAATTAGGGCTCAATTTATTTTCCACTTCCAGATTAAAAATATTCATTTTTTAAATAAATGTATTTCTTAATAGAATTCCTTAAAAATGTGCAAAAAAATATCTATTTCAAATTTTTGTTAATATGCTAAAATATCTCTTTTAGATGATCGAATTAATCAAATAAAACAAATAGATTAATTTATTACTAAAATAATCTACGAAGCCCAGTCAATGTTGTGTTGTGCTAAATGTATTTTATAAATAAAATAGCATATTAACATTTTTTCCTCTTTCTTTCATTCTTCATTTAATTAGCCAAATGCTAATCAGTTAGCGGCTAATTTAAGTGAAGATCTCCACTTTTTTTAGGTACTATATTTTTGTAAAATGTGCAGTCCAAAGAATGAAACCCAGAAATTGGGATGACCTTCTTAAAAAACCTGATTGGAAGATGCCTGATTTGATCACCTTTCCAATAACCGTGTTTTTCTTTTAATTTGAAATAAATGCAGCACATAAATCACAAAGTGTCTCAAATTTCATAATGAATGTGTGCAAAACTAGCCTCTTTAATACTGTACAACTTCCTCTGTTTTGGCTATATATATATATATATATATAATATGAGTATCACAGAAAAACTTTTTTCCTCTGATAGTTGTCATTTCGATAATACATACAGCACATATGCACTCATTTTGTATATATTTTTGTTAATAAATATTTTTCCTACGCCCCTAGATACAAAAGTAGACTTTGTATTTAATAAAATCAGGTGAATTCTCAGTCATCCAGGTCATGGCAACAAGGAAATAGGTTATTTTGGAGGCAGACAGACTGTTTTGTATTTTGTTTTATTTTGTTTTTATTTTATTTTGTTTTGTGTGATCACACATTCATAAGCACATAATGATGCCTTTTGTCTAATAGCTGAAGGAGGCAACTCTCAAGCGATAAACGACAACTGCAGCGATGATATTGATTAGAAAAATTGCTGCTGCTATCATTCTCTGGTTGTTAAACTTACAGTGTCACTGAATAATTGCCAAAACGGCGAGAATGAATGTTTTCTTTAAACAGCACTGACCTGAAGTCGAATACGCAACACTTATTGTAGTGTATTGTAGGCGAGTGTTGGCCTAGTGGGTTAGAGCAGTTCACTTGTGCTCTGAGAAGGTTGCAAGTACCCACTACCTCCACGCTGGGTTCCTGAGCCAGACCATTAACCCCTGATTGTTCCCGGTGCGCCACACAGTGGCAGCCCACTGCCCCCTAAGGGGATGGGTTAAATGTGGAGGTCAATTTCTCCAATGTGAGATCAATAAAGTTTCATTTTTATAAAATGACTTGAAACGGAAAATCTTACAAAGGTTGCAAAGTTTTCACACATTCCAAAGACAAACCTGGATGTGTTTTGTTGGGATATTATGGGTTAGATGGACATAGATTCAAACATATTTGTCAAGAGAAAACGTTTGTTTTTTTTAGATGGTTTGAAGAATTTGGTCTCCCCCTGTGCTCTAATACCCCTAAATAAAATCCAGCGCTACTAATTGGCTTGAGTGGTCCAGCATTTAGTAAAGGCCCTAATAAAGTGATGCAAACAAGCAAAACTCTGTAGATCAGTCACCATGGTAGTCATATATAAATACTGTATTTAGCAGTCCTGAAAAAAATAAATAAAACAAAAACTCTCCAGAAACAAAATTACCCTAAACATAAGGTTTTATAATGACCTAGTCAAAGTACGGGCCTAAAAACAATTGAGAATTAAAGTCCAAAGATGCTCTCAGATTCAATCAGACCATTTCTCAGCGGAATATGTTTCTAAACAAGCAAAGCCGTTTGGAATAGACCCACCAACCAAAACACCTGCTTGTAATTTTCCATCTACACCTTTTCATAGCATCGTACTTCATTTGATCTCTAAATATTCCACCTTGTTTTCCTCTGTCTTATTATTTATTTAAAAAGAAAGGAGAACTGGTTTCCCTACTATTCCAGAACAACATCTCGCTCCTCTCTTCCACACCATCTGTGCAACCTGATACGGTAAGACAATGTAAACAGCAGCGCCCAGCTCAGGTGTACATCCTGTTACAGGTGTAGTCCTGAGCCCACAGAAAGAACACAGAGCGGATCATTTGCATTCACTTTAAATACTTTGTTTTCAGTACTGAAGGAAACAAAAAATAAATAAATGGGGGGAGCTCAGGAAGGTCACAACACAGCTTTATCACATAAAGGCACCAAGTGATGCATTACACCACTGCAGTGCATCATTTTGTTCTGGTCAAGGGTTCAGCTTCATGTTAGAGGAGCAAACATAAGCCAAGGCCAGCCATGTGTGCAGCACCTCCTCCTCTTCTCCACCTCCTCCTATCAGGAGGATCCTAACTACAGCCCTGCATTTACTCATTAACCTCACCTCTACAGCAGCTCTCTGTTATGGAAATTTTTTTATGATCCTGACTCCCAATGGAGGGAGGGGAACACCTAAACGCATTCTACCTGTCGAAATGATTTAAAAATATATCTTAATGAGGAAATAAATGGTAAATACAAAAAAATAGGTGATGCACTATATTCATGAAGTGCAACAGGTGTGCACACCAAGGTTTAATGTAACTAATAATAAGTTTGTTTCCTGTATCAGTTTAAAGCTTTTTAGCAGTATAATGTTTTATTTTAACATTTATTGAGAGGTGATGTTTTCTTCCATATGTCAAACATATGTCACCTGTTCACGCATTGTTAATTAACGTTTAATAGCCGCACTTTCCCCCCTATTTCTGACTTTAACTGCAATTTAAAGACCCTTGATACCAGTTTTATACTCAAATAAATGCAAAATAAATAAAAGACAAATGATTTGAGCCTACCTGTCGTCTTAGATGAAGGTGTGGCACTTTAATTTGCCTCAGGTATCAGAAACACACGGATGTCATTTAACGTCTCCCTCTCTCTTCCGGTCCTGTAGTGGAAAAAAAGTATCAAAAAACAGGTGGAGGGGGAAAAAAGATGAAGGTTTCCTTTATCAGGACGGTTAGAGTTGCTGCGTTTGGCCGTTGAGAAGAGTTTCCTCCTCTCGGTGACTCCGCAGTCCCATGTCTCCTTGTGTAGACTCGGTCGGCTGATGGGTTGGTTAGTTAGTTAGTCCGGAGAACTAGTGGAGCTGCGTGAAGCTGACTGTGGAGGGAACAGGCTAGCTTCCGGTTGGTCATTTCAAAATAAAAGAAGAGGAAGGGCTTTTTATAATCCTGCTGAAGAAAAAACACATAAGAATTATACGGAAGAGGATTAGGGCCACTGAAATAATTAAAAACGTTAACTGATTGTTAAATTTTATTTCAGTTTAATATGGGGAAAAGGTCAGGATTCTAAGATTAAAGCCTAATTCTGAGAAAAAAGTCAGAATTCTTAGATTAAAGTCAGAATTCTGAGATTAAAGCCAGATTTCTGAGATTAAAGTCAGAATTCTGAGAAATAGTCTGAATTCTAAGATTAAAGTCAGAATTCTGAGAAAAAGTCAGAATTTTGAGAAAAACGTCAGAATTCTCAGAGAAAGCCAGAATTCTGAGTTTAAAGTCAGAATATCCCATATTCCCATCTTAAATTGAAATAAAATTATTTTTTTGTGTTATTTCCCATGTATTTGAACCTAAAAAACACATTACAATACAATTTAATTTTAATTTCAATTTCATTGCATGTCCACTGTGGAGGACAACAGGACAATTTTCATGGGAAAATATAACAGGCTTAAGAAAAAAAAAAAGATTATGTCTTTAAAGTGATATTTACCTAACAACTTTGACATTTGATAAAAACAAATAAATTTCTTTAACATTCTTCTTTTGTTTGTTGCCTGCAACAGCAAAAATAGATGTATTTAATTTAAAAGTAGTAGGCTTTTATCAGCCAGATTTTCAGCTAAAGAACTCTCTTGTAAAAATGGGACCTCTAAAACCTCTTAAAATGAAATTACAGTTCACGTTTTAGGTTTAAAAAAAAAAAAAATTCAGTTAGTAATTTAGGCCTACAGCTTTTTAATTTCCAATACCATTATTGTACCGTCCAATACCAATATTGCATACCAATACAACATCAGTATGAATCATACGTGCTTTTAATAATTATTTTGATGTGTGAAGTGTTTGAAAAAGCTTTGATCAAGGTTTGCTTTTATTTAAACAGAGAACTCACCCATTTATTACCAACCAAAACATAACATAACCATTGTGTTTTTATCAGGATGCCAATATCTGAGATTTTATGTGCAGGGTGATGTAAACCTATATAAGTTTTTTCCTGATATTAGACCGATATCCGATAATTTGTAAAAATACTTTGATATTTGATATCTTGAAACATACACAAACTGTCTAAATCATGTATTTATCCTTTTCCTATAATGAATGGTGCTTTCATGTCTTATCTATTTATTTTACCATCAGAACATTTTGAGAAAATGCTAATGTATTTTTAAACGCTCCTTTGGAGCAAATCAAGTATTTTGGTGTCTTGTTTTACCTGCAAAGGAAAGTTTGAGCAGGAGATGTTTAGAAGGACTAGAACCACGTGTGCAGTGAGATTTTAATTAAGGGACGATACAACTTTTTCATTTACAATAGGACACAGATTTTGCAGCTTTGAGAATTGGCTAATACCGATATTGATCAGATACGATCTTAGCAAAAATCACACCACTTTTTATTACTCACTTTAAACTGTAGAATGTTTGAAAAATACTTGACCAAGTAATATTACTAAAATGGGGAACGAAAGTCAAATTCAAAAGGTATGAAACAACTGGCCCGTGTAGAATTAACCAATCAGTTAAAGAAACTTTTAACAAAAGCAGAGCGTTTCTATATGCATGAAGACATCAGATGCCAGCAGATAAAATCCAATATTAGCTCTTTGGTTAATATCGGACCAATGTCCGTTATTAATATTGAATCTGGACATCCCTGTCTTACGAAGAAGAATGTATTCTGAAGAGCAAAGCTGTTGATCTATATTCTGAACCGTAATTATGGCTGTAATGCCTGGATCATGCCAAAAAGACAAAAATATCCTGGGAGCTGAACAAGCAATCAAGAGAAGATTTCCCTCTAGTATATTTTGAATTAGGGTTGTTAAAATCCAATTGAGCTTATCCCAATTGGAAGAACCCGTGACCAAGAAGTCTGGGGAGAGACAATATGTTACTTCTCTAAACAGTTGGAGAGTATTTTTTGGATGTGTTAACAACAGCTTGATTAGATACAAAAAGGAGTCAAATGATAAAGGTTGCAAAAATAAAATCATGTAATTCTTCTGTTTTTGTTTTTTTTTTTTACTTGGAGCAAGACTCATAGTTTGATGATGTTTAACATTAACTGAAAGCACTTGTGAATATCAACCTCAATTCAATTTTTTAGATTGAGGGTTGATGTTTCAGTGTAAATGCACTCCAATCACTTTCATACCTCTACGCTCCGTCTCCATCTGGCTCAGTCCTGGCGTACTCCAACTGCACTTCCTGTTTGACCTCCTAACCCATGTTCAGCTTGACTCAGCTTAACCTGAGCCTACTTTTTTCCGTCCACACAGTAGATCATATGACTGGGATGTGATTAAAATGGGGAAATAACTCTTTACTACTCGCCCAGCACCTATTTTTATTTTTCTTAAATGATTTTTAAGGCCATTGAATCTAATTATATTAATCTGCCTCCCTTCTCCAATTTTTCTTTAAACATCAACCAAAAGGAACTTTTTTAACGCTTTTGCAATTGAATGAAAGCATTTTTTTATTACATGTACATATTGCAGTATTACTATAGAGCTATGTATAGCTATAGTTATAAAACTATAGAAGTACAAATAGTCTGATGTTCTGTAACTTTACCAAATTGCATATTTGTGAATACAGATTTCTTTTCAGTACTTATCTGACTATGTAGTACAAAAATAATCCCAGTTATGCTATACTTTATTTAAAAACAGCTATGAATGTAATTCAATCTGTAAATAATAAGTACGATGAGGGCTGTAGTCAATAATAGCATTTGTTAGAATAAATTGGAAAACAATGTATTATTTTGTTGGCAAACTTCAAATAACTTTTTTTCAGTGAACACCAGCGGATCAGTCGACTTACTAACGATTTTGATTAAAAGATTATTGTTGTTAGAGACTGAAGTTAGTCATTGTTTTCTTTAAAAAAGTTTAAATATATATATATATATATATCAGTAAGTAACTATTCAATAAATATATACTGTTAACATTACAAAGCCAACTAAAATAAATTCTGTGTCAAATGGGCAGAAGGGTGGATTAACCTGAGAGATGGACAGAAGACAGCTCACAGGACTCATTACTCAGAAGTTTAGTTGCTTTTTAAAGAAATGAAACTATATCCATCAGATCTAATTGCGACTTTGAAGTACTAATAAATATATTTACAGTGCAGACATAAGGGTTGTTTTCTGTGAAGCGACGGACAAGCAGTTGATCTGAGCTTGACACAGTTCTGAAAACTGGTTTGACTGTTTACACATACACTATATGGGATCCTCCTCCTATAAACACACCAGGGAATACATTTATGTTTGTTTTCAGTGGTGGATGACTCAGGTTTTCTTCCGATTCTCATTTAAAATACATCTAAAAATGTTTTCCCTTCAAATGTGGTCATAAGTATGGCAGTTAAGAAATGGTTGAAGACAACACATATGGCCATAAGTAACGGCGAATGTAAAGAAGATATTAAAGGGGATTTATTTTGCTCTTTTTTTCTCACAGAACTTTGCTTAACTAAAAAAAATGAGAGAAAAGATTACTTTGGAAGAAGGAAATTAGGACGTAGATGAATTGAAGGCTGGAAAGATAATATGGGTCAAACCTGTTTGTTATATATAAATAAATCTGGGAGCTAATATTAGCTTATGGTATTTGAAGAGACAGCTGACTAAAAGTCATCATACAGTTTTTGTTTGTTTCATTTAATGAGTGTACAATGTTGTTTCAATTTACAAGGTGAATAATTGCAGGGTCAAAAGAGGTTGGCTGCTATCTATGAAGGTAAACACTGGACAAACAGGGTAAACAATGAACCCAGGTCCTGTGTATTCATACAGTATGAAGGCTAATTTTTAGAGACATCAAATATATAAAAGTGAGTTAAACTGGACCCGAAAGAAAGAAAATCCTGTTTAGTCAGACGCCTCTTTTAATGAACCAGAAAGTGAAACAGATCTTCCAAAGGCAAGGAACTCTCCTCCCGGCGTGCTTCATAGGAATGAGGTCAATGCCCGCGGGTAGTTATCTTTCTTCTAGGTTTAGACTTGATGCAATGGGACGGCAGTGTAAGGAAAGATGAGATAACAGGGATGGAATCAGTCCAAGTTTGTTGCACTAAATCTTCTTACAGATAAAATATTGTCCAGGACAGCCTGAAAGAGAAGTAGATTATAGGAGCACTTCTTTAACACATAGCTCTAAGGTTAAAATGCCTTATCATGGTGGGTAGATTTGTTGAGCCAGATATGGAAGGAGAAAGGTAAATACGGGTGACTCAGGCTTCCTCAAAACAGAAAATACAGGTTGCGAATGAGCACAATAGCTTCAAAAGCTTCTGGCTCAAGGAGTTAATGCCACTGACAAAAAAGGGGCTATTTTGAGCCTGGGTAAATAAAGTGACACTGTACAGTGTTTGACCTGTGTGTGACAAACAACTGGTGTAATTATATGGCTGTATGGCACTGCAGGTGGAATGTGCTTGCCACAGTGAACCTCCTGCAGCCCACGGCAGACATGAGCTCACCATCAATGCAGTGAGAGGCGTGGCCGAGCCTGGGACTGCAGCCAGCTCCAGGTAGTCATGGCAACAGAGCCTATATATACATACACACACCCAGGTTAAATGTATGCTAGTGTTGAGAGTGCCACCACTGGGAAATCAACGTGGCAGCCCCAAAGCAACAGGGTCTTATTGGCCAATAACAGCTTGAACGTTGGTGTCTTTACTCTACGAACCTGCGGGCTTGACGTAGCTCACCACAAAGGTGCCTGGCTCATACATCAACTATTTGTCATGGTGTGTCAGCAGGTGTTGGAGGGCTGTACACCACTGTTTTCTGGCATTTGGTACCGAGCCCATATTACCGGCAATTACCAGCCTGTGGAATCATTTTACAGCTCTGGTCTGTCCTTCTAAATGCATTGCCAGGGTCAGTGATTTCCCATTCCCAGAATAAGCCTAATGATTTCCTTGCAAATTAACACATAAGGAAAACTTTTAAACCTTCACTCGTTTCTCCACATTTTTCATTAAAGTAGTCAAAGCCTTTTAACTCTTTTAAAGGAGTCTTGACTAAACTCCCTATGTTTTCTTAAGTCCGGTGAAACTTTCAACCCAACTATGGCAATGTATACCATGCGGTGGGAGGATTGGAAGACCAAAAAAAAAGAACTCTTAAGGCCAAGAAGCAACACATAAACAGTTTCTGGAAGTCTTAAAGCTATAGTAATAGGATGTTCAGACATAGGCTACGTTCACACTGCAGGCCTTGATGCTCAATTTTTTTGTGAAATCAAATTTTTTTTTTGCATTGCCGTTCATATTTCCAACTATATGCGACTTGTATGTGATCTCCTGTGTGAACTGCAGTCATACAACGCAAGTGTCCCGCGTGCGCAGTAGAGGACGCAATGACGTCACAGGCCAGCGTGCTCTATGTTTATGGAAGTAAACATGGATGGTTGTGCCGGCTCGTATCTAGTGGTCTTATCCAAACATAAACCTCAATCTTCGTTCAGACGCAGGTCGCATTTGAAAAGATCAGATTCGTATCAGATTCAGGACCACATAGCCAAGTGGCCTGGGTCGCATTGGAAAAAATTGGATCTGTGTTGTTCAGACAGCCATGAAAAAATCAGATCCAGGTTGCATATGGGCAAAAAAATCAGATTTAGGTCACTTCAGGCCGCAGTGTGAATGTAGCCATAATTCCCCGCAAAAAAGAAATGGCCATTGTATTCATCTCCTGCATGCCAAATTGGCAGGTAAGGCAAATTTGTACTATTTTCTGTCTGTCATAAAGATTCAAAAGAAATGTAATTAGACTTACAATGTGGCACTTCACACTTGAGGTGAGGATGTGTTTTCCTGACTATTCGACCACATATACCTGGCCTTTCTATAAACAATATGGCGATATGATGGCACATTGTTGATGTTTTGTCATAACATGCACCATTTCATATGTACCTTGGGAACAGTCTGTACTGACCGAGTGTGATATTTGTACACACACTGGGAACACACTCATTGTTTACTTTATGGTCATTTGGGACTATAATGCATCAGATACAATCGTAATAACAACAGAAGGAACATTACGCTGCAGCTTACGAAAACAAGGGTGATATAGATGGTTGTGGGTATGAATTAGGTAAGGCGAAATTTAAACATGCAGCATTTTCTTTATTATTCATCATCTTTTATTAATCATTCTTTCTGTAAGAAAATTTGACTCCTTGCAGCTTAAGTCTTAATTCCTTTAACTTTATAGCTATTTTAATTTTTTGGGGGCTAAATCCAACATTTTCCAAATTGTCTTAAAATAATTGCGAATATTCAAGAGAAGCCACTCAATAAAAATCTAAAGAAACGTCCAATAATAGTAAAAGTAATTAAAAATGAGTGCACAAGCAAAAAAGTCCAAAAAAAAGCAAGCATGAACAACTGATCAAAAACACTTTTAAATGCTGCGGGGACACTGGTTAATTAAAAGCTAACAATAGCTTTACATATCCTTGTTTGAAAGGAAAGAAAAACAGGGGATGCAACAACATGGAGGCAAAAAGTGAACCGTTTTATTACAGTAAAATGTTTCATACAAACAATGCATACACACTAGGTTCATATTGCTTCAGACATAAGTTTCTTTTTTGTTTTAATTCCAGTTAAACAACTCTGTAACAAAATGTAAGTACAACATTTATGAAAATATAAATCTCTAAACCAGTACATCAGTCCTGACAATAAAAAGAATACCATAGAAACATTCATTACCAGTATGCCAACTATAAGTTGCAAACATGTAAGTTTTTAAAAGTCATTCAAGTTACATAACATAATACATAATAATACTGTTAACTGGCTTCCATATGGACACATTCAAATATACTCTTAAACTGGCATTCCGTTATATATATTTTTTTATAGGAGGACTGTTTTAACTTTTCAGCAAAGATAGCACATTTTATCAAAACAAAATCACAGTCGAACACTTCAACAGTTTGGTAACACTATAATTACAGTACAAGCCTTTTAAAAAACAAGTGAGACAGTCATGAAATTAAATAATCAATATTAAGAACTTTGGCAAGTACATAACTAAAACTTGTTCTGTTTTTATTCTTATAACTCTTGAGTTACAGTAGCAGGAAATTTTAAAGCTTGGTGCTGCTACCTCGATCGGAAATTTTACAAGGGCCGTTTTCTTACCATTCACAACTGGTGAACCTCTATATTAGGATGATATAGCCCTTACAAAGACGTCAAAGTGAAACTGTGTGGCTTTTTCTTGAAATAGCGAATATTTGTTTAAAGTTAAAAACTGCTAAAATAAAAGGTTGATTTACGGATACGTAAGCTTTAACAATACTGTTTAGATTGTCTGCAGATCTTTTTCCCGCCTGTATTAAGTCCATAATGTTTGCACTACATGCTCCTTACATGTGCTATTTTTTGACATACCGTTGAGCATATAAACAGCAGCGTGAATAAGACACATTTGTTCATGTTTCTCATCATAACAAAGCGTGCACTTTGTGATTTACTGGCTCTTTAGTACAATGTTGGACGCGGTTAGGCATGGGCCGGTGTTAGCTTCTGATGTACAGCAGAGGATGTTTGTGATTACGAAGCTTATCACGCATAATCAGGCTTCCTTTTAACGAACGTTCTTCACTTTTCTATCTGATGTTAGTATAGATCATCTTCTGGAAACAGTCGATATGTTCAAACCATTCTCCTGCAACTTTACCCAACTGTAGACAATTGGCTTCAGTTTCAAGACTTTAACAGGAGTAAGAGAATGTGTGAGAATACAGTTCAGACAAATACATGATTGTAATGTAGGTAAAACAAAGACTTACTATTTGGGGGGAGGATTTCAGTAATCCCTGCATGATTTCCTAATGTACAATAGACTATTCATATGACAGTTGTTGGAAAAACACACCTTGATTCATACCCATGGGCATCAATGTTGGTCTGAACCAAAGCAACCTACTGCTTCCAGACAGTGTTTCTCCTTACTTCTCCCAATTTTAAGAGATATAGCTCCAAATATGTTTTTACTTTATGTACTTAAAAAATAAAAAAGAATGGGGTTATTATTAGAAATCATAATTGTTAGGTAACTTTCTGCTTCTTTCTTATCTGATTTGTGCACATTTTTCCTTCAAGTTTTATACATACTGATTTTAAAAGAAAAAAAAACCCAGTTAAAATTGTCATTAAGTTGAAAAGGAAAAAATGGTTGTACAGGCACATTTGAATATTGTGTAGAAGTGCAATATTTTTGAAGAGTGAAACTATGTATATAGTCATCACACATAAATCTAAATATTCCAAATCTTTTTTTCTTGTAATTTTGGTGATTGTACATAGTAATAAATACTAATAAATTCAGTGTCTCAAAAAGTTAGAATACTATGAAAAAGTAAATTATTGGAAACTCATGGTGTAACACCCTAATCAGATGGCTGACACATGAAGGATGAAGACGATGGACCTCCATCTTACACAGCCGCTCTGTCAAAAAAGTATAATTACTGGTTTTGCTCGAGGTTTGGGTCGAGTCATTGCCGGCGTCATTGTGGCTCTAAATCCATCTGTCAGTCATCTTATATGTGGGAACAGGGGTTGACTGTTTTTTTTTCTGTTTTTTTGTTTTTGTTTTTTGTTTTTTTTTTTACAGATAATTGAGTGAGTGGTAGAAAAAGGTACACTAGCAGCAGAGAGAATCTAAGACTTAAGAGAGTTTTTAAGAGAAATCCTTTAAAAGATTCAGAGGAGATTCAGAGTGGACTGATTCTGAGCAGGTGGTTTAAGAGCCAATGTGCAGAACAATAAATCCTGCTTTCAGATCTAAGTAAGTACTGCAATTACTTTGGTAATAAAGCACCCAGAGTCTGGAGGATGGGTTGGAAAGGCACAGAATCCACGTTGCTTAAAGTCCTATGTGAAGTTTGCCCAGTCGGGGATGGTTATGGGTGCTATGGCATCTGCTAGTGTTGCTTCAGTATGTTTTCTGAAGCCAACAGCCAATGCTGCCATCTACCAGGAAATTCTAGAGCAGCTCATGCTTCCCTCTGCTGACACACTGTAAGGATCAGATTTTATTTTTCAGCATGACTTGGCACCTTCCCCAAACGCCAAAGGTTCCAAAAGCTGGTTCAATTATCTTAATGCTCCTGTTCTCAATTAGCAATATTGAATTCTGTTATAGAGTAAAATGGAAAAAATAAATAAATGAAAATTTGACTTTAAATTTGAAAATTTTAATAAGACTGTAGTCTACAGTGTATACCTTTAACTACAGTAAAAAAAAAAAACATATTGTACTTTGGTTGAGGTCTTTCGCGTAAACCAAAAGAAGTGCCAGCAAAACATAAATAAATAAAAAGAATTAATTACTCAACCACTAAATTACACATAGGCAGTGTCGACAGGCTAATTACCTCTATGCCATGGTGCATTAATTCATGCAAGAGGAGACTCAACCAAGAACTGGGTGCATGGGACTGGATACAGGTTTCAAAAGTTTGACATTTGTGCTTAAAACATCCTTTTTTTGTTTTAATGCAAAATCCTATTTTCACCAAAACTTATTTTTTTATTTTTATTTTTTTACCTGTCATTAAAACTGCAAGAAATAGAAGCTTGACATGTTCTATGTAAAATTAATCTGTAAAAAAAATTAAAATAACCATTTCACTTTCTGAAAAAATAAAGCACTTTTACATTTGTACCTGTACGACCCTCTTAAACAAGAAACCGGCCCATGCCTAGAAAAAGGAACAAAAAAATAAATAAATCTGATTTTAGTTAAAACAAAAATACATATCCTATCATTAAAAACCATTTCGTATTTTATACAAGAACGATGAAGCCTGTGCCACTTTTTATAAAGCTGTGAAGATTTTTTTTGTCTTTGAATGAAGAATTTAAAGTCTATGCAATCCATTAAAAATGTACTAATCTGTGCTCAGATGTTCACATACACATTTGATTTGCTACAACCACAACTTATTCCTGATATTTATAATATTATAGAACATGGATTTAATCTCCAAAAAACTTGTTTGAATGTCTCCATTTTAATTACTTATTCAAACCAGATATTTCTCAGTAAACTGTAATCTATATACATCAGTAAGCAGAGCCAATCATTATTTTCAAAGACAAATCTAAATATTCTTTTATCTTTTATATTTCTTTTGAATAAATCTAAAGATTTCTTACAAACCACTCCTAAAGTGCATCCACCTAAACCTCTAAATATGCTCACTTGGTCAAGTAAAAAACAAACAAACAAAACAACTCATTTTGCCCCTCTATTTGGGAACAGACTTCACAGAACCTAAAGCAAGTACACAGGTTAAGGCGTTAATGTGCATGGTGCTATGCTACACTGTATGCTCAATAGTGGTGTTCCCCTTAAAAACAGCCTGCACGCAAACTGATGGAACAACAGGTAAAACTACGCTTAATCTATGTAAACAGTTCCAAAAATCATAAAGCAATCAATCCTTGGAGAAATGTTGTAATTCTCTCAAGATGTTGACTTAAATTTAGTAGAATCTGCATCAATTACAAATAATATACAATGGTGTATGTACTATGAGTACAAAGTCCCTGCACTTCTACAAATTTTGTAATCTGCACGTGATGAACACTTTTTTTATTCCAGGCACTCACTTTGATTGCATTAAGCACAACATAATATTTTAAGGAGTTGCACAAATTGCAGCAGCCAAAATGAGATGTTCTGTACAATTGTTCATCCCTTTTGTACAGTACCACCTGATATCAATAAGAACATAAATATCATTTGAGATCAACATTATGGCTTAATGTGTATGAAGTAATCAAGACAATAAAAGGGCCTAACAAACAGTGAGGAACAAAGATTACAGAAGTGGCTTGGAATTTGTTTGAACAAGACATTTTGACTTTTGTTCTTCAAATGCAAAAGGACACATAACGGTAAACTAATACAGAATGTACCTTTTTTAAACAGAAGTTTTTCTAACAGTCTTTCTGTTTAAAAGTAACACAAAGTGTTGGAAGTAATACATCGTTTGAGTGCAGCGTTAAAATAGTCAACCCATTAACTACCCACTGGGCTGACATCTGCAGCTGAATCACGTGGCTGTAAACAAGAATCAACTGCAACACCAGAGATTCTGATCTTTTGGACTTGCCTCCTGTCCTAATGGCATTTGCCCTTTAAGATGTCATTGCAAAAGTTCAGTCTTTTTTGTAGGTGTGGTCGACTCCCCCTCTCCAGAGTCTGACACGTTGATGGGGCTGTCTCTCGAGAATACTTCTGTCGACTCCCTCCAAGTGCAGTCGGCAACAGTCTTGAAGGAATGGTTCCCGCATTTGGGGCGCACCTTCTGTGCAGCATTGTTTACAATCTGTCGACTGTTGGAGGTGGCTATCTTTATCTTAAGGGCGGCATCTACACGGTCCACCACTGTGTATGTGCCAATGCTGCCATCTTCAAAGCCGATGATGATGTTAAGTGCACGCTGAGATAGAGATAAGTGGGTGGGGGTCTTATAAAGTGAACATGTGCCGATACTCTTGCCATCAGCAAGACGCATCACGATCAAATTAGACACAACGCCAGCCTCATCATCCTCATCACAGTTGCGGAAACAAACATACACAAGGTAACGGCCATCTCTTGATAATTTTTGACGCCAGATTATACCAGCTGCATGAACAAGCCTCAGCTTTCCACTGTGCAGATCCAGGACATTAATGTTCTCATCGCCCTTGGAGACTATACCTAACTTTCCATTGGGCGAGATTTGAAAGTCCTCAAGATTTTTGAGAAAGTTGGCTGGCAACTGGACTCTTCTGCAGACTGACTCATCTGCCACACTCCAGATGAAAACTGTTTCTGTGGATGTTATGAAGACCACACAATCTGGACAGTCAGGAATGAGCTTAAAGTTGACAATGGTAATGCCATCATCACAGACAAATTTCTTTGATACACTGCCTGACCACAGACTCACAGCAAGCAATTTATTTTTGGACGTTCCCACCAAGAAAGTGTTTGCTGTAGTGATAAGTGCATTTTGGAGGCTGACTAAAATGTTGCAAACTTTGTGCCCTGTAGCTAGTCTCCAGACTCTTGAGGCATTCTGTTCACAGAGAGAAACCACAAACTGGTCATTGTGGGTGATCAGCAGCTGTGAGATTCTTTGTCCATTTATGCGAAAGATGTTTTCTCCCGTGCTGGTTTGCCAAATGTATTGACTGGATTTGTCGTCTGAAGTCACCATGAGATCCCCTGAGGAGGTTAGTACACAGTTCTCCACCATACCTTCATGTTTGAAGACCGTCTCGATAAAGCCAGTGCTGAAGTTCCACTTGTGTACAGCCTCTGAGCCATCCATGGTGAACACATAGTCTTCTCTGCCAGTCAGCTGCAATGTCTGGATCTTCTTGCCTGTTTTATCAATGTTAGACATGGCAGTGATAATATCAATGTCCCAAACAGACAGTACACCACTGCTTGCAACAGAGAGAAGTAGGTTGTGGTGGGCTGATTTGATGAGTTTAACAATAGCCCCTGAGATTTCAATCAGACTGGCCATGCACTGCCCACTGTCTCTTCTCCAGACAAAAATTGAGGAAGTATTTTCCATTGAGGCAACAATGCTCTGTCCGTTTTTGGAGAGAACAGCAGCAACAAAGCGCTCACTACGCTTGGCTTTGAATTTCTCCAGCATTTTCCATATTTTTGTGTCCAGAACCTCAATACTCCTGGCTTTGCAAATGAGAATGGAACGCTGATCTTCAGATAATTCGATACCCACAACTTCACTTTCATCCCCTCTGCAATCATAATCCTCCATCAGCTTTGGATTGGTTATCTCTTTTGTGTTCCACACTGACAGACTCCCCTCGTTGTCAATCATGACCATTTGATTTAGTGTGTCCAGTACAAGAATTGACTTGACAAATCCTCCAGAAAACTCTGATGTCACGGTGGACAACTTTTCCCCATTTCCAAGATGAAAGATTGATGTAGTATTCAGATACTGGCCACAGAAGGCGTACATCCCATCTGGTGAGCACTGGACACAGGTTACCTCATACCAGCAATGGAACTGGTAGAGAGGCCAGCCATACACAAGGTCAATGACACTGATGTCTTTACTAGCCTCAAGCCACGCCAGTGCATGATGGGTAGAAAGAGTAAAACCATTGATGAAAGCAACACCTCCAGTTACGCCACTGTGCTTTGATCCTTTAATTTCAACTTCAGATAAAAGGCAGGACTTGTGATTATCATAGATTAGCAGAGTGTTTTTGGTTGTGGCAACCACCAGGTATTTCTCATCACTGGTCAGCCTGATTCCAAGCACAACGGATCTAGCAGTGTCAATCTGTCTTAGAAGCTGCCTGCTCTCTACATCCCAGGTGCTTATAGATCCATCTTCCAGTGCTACAAGAACTATGTTTGGGGCTAGAGTAGGTAAAATCTCTACAATCTGTATGTAGCTGGAGCAAAGGGGAAGTCTCTCTGGACTATAGGTGACATCCATTGAAGAGTGGAGAGGCACAATAGAACAATACTTGGGACCATCCTTGTCACACTCCAGGAGAAGGTGTCTGAGCTTAGGCAGGGAGGTGACAACTGGCAGAAGCCTTTGCTGAAGTTCTGCAGACAGCGATGCAGGGTTCTTGAGTACTTTTACCTTAATGCCGCGGAGGGTAGTGGCGAGAAATTTTAGCTCCTTTTCCTGGCTGCAGGTGTAAGCAAGGTCAATGTCTGTTATAGCTTTCTCAAACTGACCAATCTTGATCATTGTGTAGAGCCAGCTGAAGTTCATGATGACACCAAACATGAGGTCATCTGTACGTCCACTCCTGGTCAAATGGTACACAAGCTCTGTCATCTTTCTGTGATTGACAAAGAAGATGTCTGGTTCCAACAGGTTGCACTGGAACACCCAAGGCTGTTCAGGAGTCTGCCTGTCGTAGGAATATTTGTCAGAGGATGTCTTTTCATGAGACTGTTGATGATGAGGATTTTTGTGATGGGAAATATTCAGAGAAGTGAAATGATTATTATCATATGTAAAGATCTTCTTCCTGCCTCCTGACCATGCTCCGAGAAAGTACTCAGCCAGGAGGCTATGCATTTGATGTACATCCTCCTCATTGCTGAGATAGAGCTTCTGGGCGATGAGATGCAAGTGCCTGTTGGCCCAGACCATCAATGTGACATTTCTTACCTGCCGCTCAACTAGATAGCCCTCAAGCTCCTCTTTGAGCTTCGCAACAAGGTCATAAGAGATCCTTAGTGGATTTTTGAGGTGACTTGGTACAATAACATCTCCAAGAACTATGTTGTCAAGAGACAGAATGTCTTCCAATTCAACTTCTGTTAGCCCAGCTTTTGCCATGGTGATGTATCCTAATGCTCTGAAGACAAATCGCTGTCCCAACTTGTTCTCCACAGAGTAGAAGAGTTGCTCAATGCTTTCATGAACTGTTGAGCACAGAGATTTATCATCAACATCTTTGTGTGACCTCCAGTGAACCACTTCTCTGTAGATGAGGTTGACAAACATTGGCAACGTGCACTTTGCAAGTGCCTCATTGACATATATTTGTTGGCCTGATGTTACCTTCCTCTTCACACCAAGCAACTGCTGTTTTAACATTTGGCTGCAGACCTTTCGGTCTCGCTGGATTAACTCCACATAATATCTCTCATCATGAATGAGATGACGCAGCTTCTGTAAGATACCATGCTTGTTGGGCAGCGTTGATACAACAATGCGGACAGTGCGAGGCAGATGCACGGGGAGCCACCACAGCTTTCGAGCCTCATCAGCATCTGAAAGCTGCTCCAAGGCATCCAGGACAATGACCAGTGGCCTGTGGAATGATGACTCCCCAAGGAGATTAATCAGAAGTTCCCTCATCTCCTGAATCTTGTTAGGCAAGAAGTGAATCAGGCAACGGTAGTTTATTGCAATCTGCTCACAAATGCTTTGAAGGAGAGTCCGTAGGTCCATGGAGGGCTGTGTGGAGCCAATAAAGCGAACAATAACCACTGGATCCGTTTCTGGACCCATCTCCTTCTGAAGCCAAGTGTAGGCCTGAAAAAAAAGGAAGGATACAGTCAAAATGGTTTCATAAATGAAACACGATTAAAACAACATTCAAACGTCTAAGAATAAAAAAGATTTAAAACAAAGTGCTGGAATCAATTATAACATTTTTTTCCGAAGAAGCTCTTTAACACAGAAAAAAAAAATTCAGCTTAATTTTTTGCTTTGACCTTATTGTCTAATATTCTACACTTTGTGGTATTGCAGTTTATGTTTCATTAAAGCACATATTAAGACTAAGATGATTTCATAATTTAATTCATGAATTCATTAAATAACCCAGTTTACGTTTACAAAAGTATTTTAATGCTCTCTGACATATTTGGGACAAACTCTGCTTTCCTCTTAAAGCTATGAGCCTGTTTGATGGAGAGAGAAAAACCAAAGAAAAACACATATTCAGTCTTGGAATAAATTGCTCTATAAATATATGTTGCAGAACAGTTCCTTCCTTATTATGTCAGACTTTTAAGGAATGGAAGGCCCTGTAAAATCTTTCTTTCAAAATTATTTTTCTTTCTGAATCAAGTGCAGTTACATTCACAAAGATTTTGAAAAACAATGAAAAAAAAATATGCAGCCACCTCAAAATGAATAGTTTATATAAATAAATGGGAACCAGACAATGCCCCTGTTCTTAGTGTCCCTTATGTTTAAGGAGGTTTTAGTTATTTTATTTTACTTATTGTTTACTGCTCTAACTTTAGATATAGGAAAGTGTAGCGTTTACAATTACAGTTCAAGTGGAGCGGGTTCTGGTTAGCATAGCCGGTATTGAGTCAGACCTGATCCTGGTCAATGCTGGAGTACGGCAAGGCTGCCCTCTGTTGCTAGTCTTGTTCATAACCTTTATGGACATAATTTTTAGACACCCAGGGCTGGAGTGGATCTTGTTTAGGGGGGGTCAGCTGATTTTGTCCCTCCTTTTTACAGATGACACGATTCTGCTAGCTGCTTCCTGTTAAGACCCAAAGTATGTACAAGGTGTTTCGCAAGTCCTCCAAGTTCTTGACCATTCTAGGGTCCTGTTCATGAGCAAGGGGACAATGGATCAGTAAGGTTGCCACTATAATAAGGACACTGCTTCCTCACCTATGGTCATGGAATTTGAATTATGCCTACACAAAGGCACTCCCTCAGAGATAGAGTGAGGAGCTTGGCCATCCGGGAGAAGCTTGGAGTAAAGCTACTTCTCCACATAGAGAGGAGTCAGCTGAGGTGGCTTGGGCACCTTTTTCAGCTTCCCCTAGACGCCTCCCCTAAGGGTGTTTCAGCAACATGTCATAGGAAGGAGACCCACAGGATGCCCCAAGACACTTTGGGGCATCGGCTGGCCTGGGAGCACCATCTTGTCGTCTTCCGCCATATAAGGTGGAAGACGACAAGAACCAATACAAGTATGAGTAAAATTTTTGATAATGATGCAACACAGCATTGTGCTTTAGTATAGAAGCAATGTTAGATGTGTAGTCCTTTTTCCAATATGTTGAAAGAGTAGGTAATTATAAGGTCTATCTTATCAGTAAATATCAAATATCAGCCAAAACAACAATACTAATAGTGGATTTTCTCACTGCATCCCTACTTGAGACTGTCTCAAAGAGAAAAGCAAAGGGTTTGTGTTATTATGTGGTTGAAGCTTCGAGTTAAACTTATGATATGCAAATGCTAATAATACGCCAAGAATTCCAATTCACAATTAGCTGTAATCTTCTGTCTGATTGCGTTACATGAGAAATATCGCAAAATACAGCACTTGCTAACTCCAAACCTGTAGCATTGGACTGTGTAAATGTTTAAATAGGCACCTTTTTACAAGTTTAGAGAAAATTTCAAATAGCTATGATCAGACTGTAATCACAAAGGGCAACGATTGATCTTTGAAATTATTCCCTGAACTTTCTTAAGAAACTTTTAAATGTCTTTCTGTGATAAAAACAAAACAGCCAATTATTAAATGCTCACTAATTAATATAAAGTAAATTAAACTGATTTATTATCATCTTAGCAGAAGAGCTTGTTCAGGTTTTATCCAATAGCTGAGTTCTATTAAATTTCTCAGCCAGCAAATTAACACAAAGCAGACTGACCAAACACTACAGGAAGTCAATTTTGGAATTTTAAGAAATACAGACACATTTTAAAAGTAATGTATTAAATAAAACAGCGCACACAGGCACACAGTTTTTGGTTGGTTGTGTTCAACAGAGGCTAGTTCTTGTTTGCCTTCATTTGATGCTGTGAGCTTTCAGTTTACTGTCTATGATAAATAAACTTTTTCCAAGGTAGAAAAAAAAACACATCACTCTTTTTACGGCAGCACTCATTCTGAGACAGCAAAAACCTATTACGATTAGTATATCTGTCTGTAGAATGGTGATGTTGAGGGCAAAAATAAATGTACTGTTGCTTTAGTTGAAGTTCAGATAGGTACCAGTAAACGTTATTGCAACAACCACTGATAAACAGCAGTAACTACACAGCTCAGCCTGCTTAGAAGACTTTAGTTATGTTACACCACACTCTGCAGGCGTACACAAACAAAGCAAGTGTAAATCAAATGGGATCTGAGTGGAAGCCCAGAGAGCTTACTGTAGAGCACTTTCTTTATTAGGTATGTTGTGGGCATTAATCAGTTAAAATTGCCCTGTCAACATCGAGCTGTTATCAAAAATCAGGGCATGAAAAATATTTCTTTCCACTTAAACTGAAGCAATAAAGCTTCACATTCAAGTTGAATGGTTTGATTGAATTGAACATGTACAGTACTATGCAAAGGTATTCATGCTACTTTTAACTATTCTGTCACGCCATACCTACAAACCTGATGTGTCTTTTGCATAGATTTATGTGAAAGACCAAAAGAAAGAGTATAATTATAAGTAAAATGATCATTTTTGTTAAGTTTTTACAGATAGAAACTTTAAACAAAATGTAACATGCATGTGGATTAACCATAAAAATTCAGTACAACTAAATCCCAAAGAAAAGCATCATTGCTGTTTCACAAGGGTTGATGTTTGGAGAGTTTCCTTTTCCATTAAGTTAGAATTTTACATATAGGACATATACTTTAAGCTTTAGTCTCATCTGACCACAGTAGCTTCCTCTAAAACTGCAAGCAAGATATCTTTTATATTTCGTCCATGCAGACTGCTTCTTTGATCATTGCTTTCCTTGCCATGCCGTTGTGCAGTAATTTCTATGATTGTAGAAGAGTTTGCACAGTTCTATATTATATGGTCAAAGCCTGGGATATTGTTTTATAACCTCAACCAGGCTAGATGTCTCCACAACTTTCTATCTGACCCGTCTGCTGTGTTCCTAACTCATTAGTTCACTAATGTTCTTCATAGCAAATGTATGACAGCCAAAATATTTATACTGAGATTAAAATGAGGGAAAGTGGACAGTTGATAGATATTTCAGTATTATTGAGTATGTACAGTATATATATCAAAGGCTAACAGAGTACTAAGAGCTGTACTAAGGTTAGAGTAGATCTATTTCAACATAACTTTACTCAAGTAGGAGTAAGAAAGTATGACATAAAAAGGCTACTAAACTATTGAGTAACTGATCATAGTATTTGATGAATTGGTAAAACATAAGTCATTATAAAAAAAGATAAGACTGAGTAAATGTAAGTATCTTAAAGAGATTTCAATTTTAATTCAATTCAGTTGATTTATATATCGCCAATTCACGACATATGTCATCTCCAGGCACTTTAAAGTGACAATAAACAAAACGTTTTTAAAAATGTTTTAAATTTTTTTGTTTTTTAACAGAGCTTATAAAACCAGTGTTTACAGTTATAATGTAAAGCAGAGTAAAGTACTGTCAGTGACTAGTCTGATCTCCAATTGCCATCGTAGGCTTAGAGAAAGAAAACATCTAAGCCTGTGTAGAAACAAAAATACTAATCTAAACATAAACTTTGTTTGTCCCTGGTGCATTATTCTTTGCAAAAAACTTTTTCTTAATTAATGAAGTTACTCTGGTTTGATATTAATATTTTAGAATGAAAATATAAAAAAGTAAAGAGGGATGTTGCAGTAAAAATAGACCCTAAAGTATTTATTTTCTCACCAAAAGCCTAATACATGTATTCATTTATATCAGCGGTAGAAATACAACTACTACCGATTCGGATTCTGCTACTACTAAGAATTATCATTATCATTGCCAACATAACTGTAATTATTTATGAACCAGCTACCTAATTTTAGGCTTTCTGATCAGGCATTGCTGGGCCAGTTGACCTGTTTAGTATAAATCCATTCCAATCATTTCAGATGTACGTTAGTAAATTAAAATTAAAACCTTGCTTTTTCTTCCACTTCAATGTAATGCAAGTGGAAGATGTTTGTTCAGTGGCTAAAAATACTTTAAAGGTGTGTTTACATATTAGATGTTCCTCGAAAGCTTAAAATTGTGCTATTCTTCTATTTATTACTCTCAAATAATGTGGTTATGGGTTTAATATATGATATATCGCTCTAAAAACAAAAATCCCTGGTGCTTAAAGCTAATGTGTACATGATAGATGCACTGGAGGAATAGATGTGAGGTTATTTGTAGCGTGATGCTAATTGGGCAGGGCAGGCAGATGTCGCACACAGAACTAAATAACGAGCAGATGAGAAAGTAATCGGGTGACAATAAAAGCATTCCTGCCAGTTTGGGCATGTGAATGGGAAAGAAAAAGCAGAGTCATACAAATGCGAATCAACTTCTGCATAATCGCTTCACTTTCCTGGAAATGAGCGACACATGCATGCACGGGGATGGAGTGAACAGATGGTAAAAGGAGCAAGCATTTGCAAAAGATGAACAGTTGCACACCCCCTCATGCTCTGTTGCACAAGGATGGACACATGCTGACATCAGACAGACAGACGGGAGCAAGCGTGAACAAACTGAGATAACTGAGCAGGAAAAAGTGACAGGGAGGACATCCCTTTGTTTACGCCTCACCTGCTTGGCCACCTCAGAGAGCAGCAGTGTCTTTCCGGTGCAGGGTCCTCCGTATACCACCAGAGGGCTCATCCTGCTCCCTTTAGACGGCATCAGGTACTCCTGCACATAATCCAAAGTCTCCGACTTGTACTTATAGAGGGCTGCGGAGGTCTTACACAGGGACAGGTGCTGCAGAATCTCATCATACAGTGGGTCGGTCTCTGTGTCAAAGTTCTGCTGTACGGTGGCTTGAATGATGTCCACCATGTCCTCGTAGAACTGCTTGCAGAGACCTTCCACGTAGTGGCTCTCCACCTCCTGGGAGTAGCCCAGCTTCATGTCGCAGTGAGTAACCGACGAGTAGACGCGGAGATTGGAGGCGGCCACAATGGTGGGGATGAACTCGTCACGGACTTTCAGCAGGCGCTCATAGGCCTCCTGGTTCCGCATCACGCGGTCGGCACTCACCACGGTGTCCATGTAGCGGGTCATGTCGGGGAGCTTGGCGAAACGGTCAAAGTTGGAGATCTTGCGTATGTAGCAGACGCATTTCCTGAGAAAGGCGGGTGTTTGTTTCCCGAGGGCAAAGTCTAACTCATCCTCCAAAGCTGAAAAAACAGAAATAGGAGTGTTTACTGGAAAACATTTTTTTTTTTTATGTTTTTTATTTCTTGACAATGGTTAAAACAAATAGGATACTAGGGATCCGACATGGCTAATCCTTTTTTTCAATGTACAGTCTTTTTGAGTTTTATAAGGTAAGTATGTACCACTAAGTTTTCTTAGGTCTGATCAGTCACTTGTGTCAGTGCCTAGAACGAGGCGTAAACCCAGAGGGGATTCTCTGTAGCGGATCCCAAACGCCTCCTCTTTGACCATTTTAAATCTATTTTAAATTCTTATCTTTTCTCTGTGGCTTTTAATGTTCAAAACGATGTTGGTGTTGATTGATCATGTTTTCTTTGTTATTTTCTATATTGTCCTTACTCAGTTTTTTTCATGTTGTTTTTTATTAATCTTATGGCATTTAATGGTGTTTTTATTTCTGCTTTTGTTTAGCACTTTGGTCCTGTTTGTTTTTATACTGCTATATAAATTAAGTAGGAATGGAAAATAATGCAATAATGTATTCATGGGATTATCTTTCAAAAAAACTTGTAGCACAACTTCTTATTTATGTCTATTTGTGTTTTTCCATTTGTGACCTTGGTCTCCAGAGCTTTAGCCCTGAATGCCCCAAATCTCCTGAAAGTAGATATTTTCCTGTCTGCACATGTCTGTTTAAAAGTTACATTAGAAATGTCTTTAGATCACAAATTGCTATTTAAAAGCATTCAGATTTTTTCCTGTGTTCAATATATTGAACAGACAGAGAGAGACAGAAAAAAAGATTAATTGCACACAAATAGCACCATCATTGTGAGACTATGCTTAGAGATAGGTAACAGCTTGAAAAAAGCTGTTAAATGGGAAAATTCATGCTTAACAGTAAAACTAATAACAGGACAAAAGAACACATTTTCCACTACTGTAAGTTTTTCTTTACTCCCCCAATGATTCACATGCTGAGTGGAGAAAATGATTAAATACTTTGTTTTTTTGTTTCTTTACTAAAACTAATAAAAATAAAATCTAAAAAAGTAATTTAAGTAGATGAGGACAGAAGCACGCTTGTTTGGCCCTAAGAAAAAAAAATCTGTTTCTCTGAGAAAAAAAAACGACTATTTTCTTCAGATGTAGGCAGAAATTAGGTTTAAGTTTTTGTCTTTTAAATATCAGAAAAATTTGTATTCTATTTATTTTTTGCAATCCAAAATGATATTTGCCCTTTTATTTTTGATTATTAACAAAATATTAAAAGTACATTTTATTGGTTTAAGTTACAGTGCAGTCAGACTGGTACAACATTTTTTTTTATATTATCTTAAAATAAATAAAAACATTGTCCTTTAAAAAAATCTAACTTTTTGGGAATTAGCTAAAGCCCCCGATGTTAAAGACCCTTAAAAAAACAATGGTTATAGCCCTTTATAAAAGGAACAATTAGTACCTTCTTCTAACAAGGCATCCTTAATTCAGTCTAAGAGAGTCTTAATCTATGTACTGGTTACTGAACTTTGACCCTATGATGTTCGGTGTTAAGTTGGGTGGAGGTTTGACAAGACCATGACATTCAGATAGTGATTACATTTAGTAAACTGCAAATGTCACCCTAAAGCCAAAGTGTCTAAAACAGTAATTAACAGTAAAGGAACACCTTTCACACACACGATGGGAATTTATAGTCCACCAAATGTTTTGTTGCCATGTTCAGAACTAGGTAACAAGACACAAGACAAGGAAAGCTGTCTGGAAAAGTGTCTAGCTGTCATGAGTTTTGCGCTGATGACTGATCTGATTAATAATTTCATTTATCTGTATAGCTCTGCCCAGTTCTCATAACCGCATTTCTGATCCACTTGTTGCAGCCTCTATTTAACTAGTGTTTAACCAATCATCAGTGTCAGATTATTTGAGCACTTGGTGAGAGTTCTCTTGCATACCTGAGTGTTTCTGATTACCTGATCCTGACCCCTTCTCCCTCTGGACCCCTGAGCCTGCCTGTTCCCATTCTGATCTGTTTGCCTGACCTGTCCTCGGACTCCTGCTGGTTTCTGCCTGTTTACCGAACCTGAAACTTATTCCTGACACAGTCCTGGATTTCCCTTGGTACCTCTTCGGATCTCTGCTCTCTTGGCTCTGACTACATCTCCTACACCAGATTTTGCCCTCTGGATTACGCTGCCTTCCTTCGTCTGATCAGTTCTGATCTCCTGCCTGTCCCCCAACCTCCGAGAAATCATCATCTGGGACTCTCTGGGCGGCGCTTGCCTCGTCTTTTTGGTAGCCGACCGGCTGGAACCATCCTCTATCTCAGGGCATGGACTGAAATTTAAGACCAGGTTCGTGACTCACATGGTTTAGTTTTGATGCTTGTACAAGTTTAGTTCTGACGCGTGGTTGAAGCATCTTTACTGCTCTAGGTGTGCGGTCGAAAAGTAGGTCTGAAGCGCATTGTGCGGAGCTACCCTATCCTTTCTTTGCTTGTAAAAATGGTGGATGAAATCGTTGCTTGGCTTATTTTAATAAATAATGCTTCGTTCAGACCGCAAGCACTGGAAGCATCAAAAAAGCTTCTGCTGTTATTGCTGTGACTTTTACTGAAAAGCATTTTTAATAAATCAACTGTATATATATTGTTATTGTAGGATTATGTAGGCCTATGTTAAGTGAGTGCATGCCACAGACATCTCTATGCATGGGAACAGAGATTCTCTACAAATTATAGAAAACATGGAGTCACTTTGGAGAGGATATTGAGAGGATATCCCCTCTTTTCTTTACCAATTTCCAGAGTAAAACACTGTGATAAAAGAACAGAAGTACTACCAAAACTAAAATAATATAGCATTAAAGCCACTTAATAAGAGTACAAAAGCGTCTACCTCAAACTGCACTTTTAAGGATTCTTTTCCCAACTGGTTTATTAGTTTGTAAACTAAAAAACAATAGAATGTTTTATCATTCATCAGATTTTATATTCTGATCACTATTTATCAAGGGACAGCAAAATGTAAAGAGTGGTTTAATACTATCAAAAGAGATAGAAACTGTTTTTTTTATCAAGACACCAATTCCTTAGCTTGATGAGAATACAAAGATCATGTATCACCAAATGCCCATATTCATCTGAAAACAAAAAGGACACAGAAGGCCTGAACCTTACCAGAGCAAAGGAATTTGTTGGCATCCGTGCTCTTCATGGTTCCCTTCTCTTGGAGCAGCAGCACAGCCGTTCGGAAGATCCTCTTGATCTCCTCTGACACATTCCTCCAGGCCTTGTCATTCTTGGTCTTTGCTGCGCTGCTCGATTCCATCTAAAAAGGGGATGAGGCCCAGAGAGAGAGGAAAGGCTGGCTGTAAGTAGCGTCATGTACTGAAGGAAAGCTGTCATTCTTTTATGAGTGAACAGTGAGCAGATCTGTACCCTAAGAAAGCAAAACTTCTATATGTTACTGAGAGATTTTAGGATCTGAGGCTCTAATTCTAATTTTAGGACTTTGAAGACACCTTTAGCTATTAAACACATTCAACCAATTATTTTATTTTACCCTTGAAAACATAGCATCACACTTAAAGGACTGGCTTTGTTTTTTCCAATTGAACTGTGCTGACAGAAATAAAACTTGCATTAAATGGAGTTTCATGGGGCCAGTTGCCAGCTGGGAAAACATTAAAGCAGAGAACATGAAAAGGGTTTAAGAGCCAAGTGAAGAAAAACAAGCACAAACATGATGCAAACCCTCTTTTCTGCAGCAGCAGATAAAATGTGTTTATCAGGCAGAGATGGAGTGTTTCACTACATGGATGTTAGGACACAAATAACAGCAATGATATGCAGAGAAATTCTTTATTACAGGTTACAGATTCTGTTTATACATCTAAGATTACAGCTTGGAACTTCTTCCCAGAAAAAGCCTGGATAAATGATGCCTTGCATGATATTCATCTCACTTTGAACTTTTTTCTTTTTCAATGTTGTCACTTTAGAAGCATAAACTAGTGATATGATTTTCAGAGTGGAAATAAAAATACACAAAGCATGGTGAAGGTTTGTATTTTGCAACATTTGTTATCATTGTATGATTTTTATCAGGTCAGTGGAAGAAAAAAAAAGGCCATATTGGTTTCAAAAGTCTTCCTAAAAAATTGTCAGAACGATATCAATTGTCAGAAAGACTGTATCTAGTTGAAATTAAAAAGAAAAAAGCATTGTATGAGTTTGGACTCACAGAGTTCTGGTAGTTCTTGAGCATTTGGGCTTTGGGTTTGAGGTAGTATGCGGGTGGCACAGAGTTTTCATCCCTGCAGTACCACTCCTCCAAAATGTGGGTGTCCAGCCCCGCCTCCACAGCCGCATCCAGGATCATCTCAAACTCTGCTGATTCCACCTCCCCTGGCACTCGAATGCTGCCGTACTTTTCTCCGACCAGACCCTGAGGAAAGAAAGGGGGCAGAGGAAGACACCAAATAGATTAGGGGACGTGAGTACAGGAATCCATGTTACTCATGGTAATATGTTATCAAGCAAGGGTTATGGTCAAAGATGCACAACACCTGACATTTTTCTAGAGTTACTGTAAAGCAGCTGAATCCTTGGTATGTTACTAGAAACCCCGATTCTGTGTGTAAATATTTCAAGTAGTTGTTACACCACAGCCTTTACATTTTTGCCAATGTCTAAAATTAAGCTAAAAAGATTCCTAAATCTGGGATATTCTATATATTATTCTTTTACCCATCTGTCCTTTGATTGACAGTGTTTTTGGAGCGGCCCAGCCAGTTTTCTGACTTCAATCTAATAGGGAATCTGTTGGGAAGCTTAGGGGGATGGCAGGGTGGCCTTCCAACCTCAAAGATTCGGAGCTCCTCAACAGGGGCTTTTCTTAATACTATTTTCAAATTTATCTGGAGAGGAGTGAAAGTATTTAGTGGAGAAAATTAAAAAGTTGGCAGCTTAGTTGAAGGAGGGATGCTCCCACAGGGGAGTCTGGGCAAAAAAACGTTTCTGTTCTGATAAGAGGGAATTTTATTAGTGATAATCAACCCTATAAGGAAAAGCATGTCAACTGGATATTAACAAGATTTCTATCTTTAGGGGTGATCTGATGGAGCTCTAAAGATGCGTTCTCACAGAATGTGAAATCTCCAACAAATTTGCCAGTTTTGTCTGTTTTTGCTCGGCTTGAAACCCGCCTGGACAGCGAAAGCATTTTACACGTCAGGCGAATTCACCAGACGGGCAAAGGCTCCTTCATCATGGAGTCTGCTGGTTTTTGGTTTCACCTCATCATGGTGGACATGGAATTAGAAAGTGACTGTCAGTGTTTTCTACTTTAGAAACCAGGAGTAGCGGGAAAACAGTGCCAGAATGCCAACAGGGGAAAAAAGAGAAAAAAGCCACCCTCTAATGAACCAAAGCGGAATATTGGTGGTGCCCTCCGGTAAATCATTGCACTAAAGCGGGGAGAGAAGGCAGAGCGGAGAAGCCCACTGAGGAAACAGTGCCAGTGGGGAAAGGCTAAAGCTGGCTGGGGCTAGCTATAGAAACTAACTGTGGAGGAACAGAGCAGCACAGCAGCAGATCTGATAGGTCTACTGGGAAGAGAGAACACTGAAGGTAGAGACTACGGCTGCCTGGGATTAGGACAGTGGTAAATCATTGAGCAAACCAGTGCTAGGAGAAGATACGGCTTGCTGGAACAACCTAACTGTGGGAGATGAAAGGTAGGGTGACCAGACGCCCTATTTTTCCCGGACATGTCCCATTTTTCATACCTAAAAAAATGTCCGGGGAGAATTTCAAAATCGTCCAGGATTTGGTCGACTGCAGTGCAGCAGAACTGAGCCGTGAGCTCCGGGGCTGGTGCTGGAACTCCGGCGGATGGAGGGAAGGGAGCCAGCCTAGGACGGAGCGACCGAACCCAACCCAGTGACGGTAGGCGCAGCCCTGTACTTCCACCCACCTGCCCGGTAAGGCAGACGGCTGGAAGCATACCGTGACCGGGTACGGTCCCTCGGTCCTAGGCTGGCTCCGGACCCAGACCAGCTGATTGCCCCGGAGCTGATGGCTCGGTTCGAATGCCCGGTCTGGTCAAGTCAACCCCCCACCCAAAAAAAAAAAAAGGAGTACCAGGGAGGATCAGCAAAGCTTGTCTGGGCAGACAGCGGTGGGGTGAAGGAGATAATGCATTTATCTGTTCTGGAGGAACGATGAAGGTCCTTCAAGGGCTAAATTAAAGCGGCTTTTTTAAAAGAGCATTTCCACTTCATCCTGTGTCAACATTATTTTCTCTATCTTCCATTTCTAATTAAATAAAGCTTGTCTCTGCTGTGCTCCTTCACGCTAGCTCACAGCCACATCTAGTCCCTGAGTGGATTTCGTAACGTGAATGTAAACAGAATTTGAGATTCTTCAACTTCTTGCGAGGCAGCAATCAAATTCCATTAACTTCACCACAATCCCGCCCTTCACCTCCCTAAATGCGCCACCTTCGCATCGCTTTAGATCTGCCCTCTATATACAGATAAAATTATATCCTTCGCTCCAGCTGCGAAATTTGGGTTCAGTATGAACGTACCCCAATACAAATGTATCTACTTATCTCTTTCATAGCTGTATTCTATACCCATTAGATTCAGTAAAAATAAAAATTTTGTGATACTTTAAGATGGTTATTGGCCTTCCCCAGACAGTTTTCAAAACTTTATCATGGTTTATGTTCCAACAAAAACAAAATCTGTTTATTGGTGTTTAATTAAAAGAAAGAACTTCCAGGGCTACACAGCCATACAGTAGGAGGATGTACAGGGATACTGTATTCTTTAAGTAACAGATACGCGGCTGCCAACATTTCACCAAACCTTGGAGTGAGATTTTGAAATAATTTGGATAGGCCACCCATGTCAGGGTTAGATTGAAAGGCTATGAGGACAGGTGCAGCTATCGGTTGTCGGTTTTCAGAGGATTTCACTGAAACAAAGTGGCAAAAGGTGGAATTTTTGATAGAACAATAAATTTTACTGAATAACAATAAGTTATCTGTATGTGTAACATTTAAAAAAATATATACATTATTTTTTATATTCTGGGGATTTTTAGAGAATGGAAGTAAAGAAGTATGGGCCTTAATAAAATAATTGCATCTTAAATATACTGTAAACTAAGAATTTCACAATTTAGTTTATTAATTATTCTATGCAGTTCAAGTAAAATAAACAATGGGGAACTAAAAGGCAATTACTGGATTACTTGCACTGATACAGGAACCAGTACAATCAATTCCCGTGCAATCTACTCTGTGTATGAATATTTGGTAATAGGCTAAGATTAAGAATCTGAAGTTATTATCTTATTAGTTTTTCTTACAATTGACAAAAAAGCTAAGCAGTTCAGACCTTCTAGGAGGCCGTAGATGGCTGCAACGAACGATTATTTTGTGAATAGACTAACCTGTCGATTATGTTTTCAGTTAATCGATTAATAATTGGATAGCCAAAGGTTCCGTAAAAAAGATTTTTTTTTTAACAAAATTAAACCAGGTGAAGCTAAATCTTTTCCACTGCGGGAGTATAGGGCATAATGAAAGATGACTTTTTTATTTTAAATATAAAATTTTTACATATTTGATTTACAATTTTGGAATAATTGTTGCTCAAGATGGGTCACTGTCAGCTAAATACATGTTTTAGAGTCTCTATATTCCAGTTAAGGATGAATGGATTACTAAATTAGTGGATTTTTATCAGCATAATATTTTTATAGATAAATAAGTGGAATGTAGTTTAGTTTTAATGTCCGTCATTTTTTAGAGTGAAAAACTGCGGATATGGAGTGTGAGCGTGTGAGGACACTGAGATGTGTGAGTCTCACACCCAATGGGTGAGAGTTGACAGCCCTGCTGATAGAATTAAAATTCTTCCATCCTCAACACTACCTGGATTTTTCTTATTTTAAGCATAACTGATTCAACCGATGATTGGTTGAATGAGGTATTACAAAGACTACACCAGTTTACCTAATGTACCTATTTACGAACAGCTATATTTAGAGGATGGATTCATTTTAGAATTGGATTAGTAAAGTGAAATTAGTTCTTTTTGTGCAATTTGCTTTATATCTACTCACGTATTGAACCTGAATTGTAACATAAACAAAAAACTACATTGATTAAAGCTACATTTAGCACTTAAAGAAAGCATACATTAACTTTTAAAATACTTTTACCCACTCTACAATATTTTTTTAACTTAAATATATTTGTTAAAATAGTAGCAGAATAACAGGCAACTCTCTTGCTGTGATTACCGCTCTGTTTATACTGCTTATTTCGCTGAATGCAGCCGATTCGTTCTGCTTCTGCAAATATTTTGAATGACACACTGTTACGTAAAAGACGCAGCCGCTGCCAAATTTTGTAATTCCCAGTAATCAGCGACATTAAGAAAATGAGCAGATTTTCTTTTTATATCCAACAGATGGGCCTGTTTGTAGGAGAAAAAGGAAAATAACACTTTAGAGGGATCTATGTGGATTTGTAGGTTAACTGTGAAATCAGGTTTCTATGGGTTTTAAAGCTATAAGTTTAGGTTATTAAAATAAGATTTGCAGCCTTAATTGGTATGTGTAAACATAAAATACATGCTGCTGCTTATCTGTGCACATGAGAGACAGCGGATCAAATATGACTGGAAATAATTAGGACAAAATGCATCCCTATTATTTCATGTTGTTTGACACATCTTTGAGGGAAAAAAAAAATACTGTGACATGACCGGCTGATTTTCTTTTTCACTACATCTGCTTAACTCCCATGCACCTCAAGCCTCTCCTCTGGGAGGAGGCTAAGCACTTGTGAGAGATGAGCCAAATGACTGTGAGGTCCAATGAGCAGGAAATCAACGCCTTGCCCTCGGCAATGACGCTTCAAAGCCACTCCATGCTGGACTCCTTGTTCCCTTGGCATTCTCAGTGGGAACAGATGCAGAGAAGAAGCAGAAATCCATAATAGCATGCTGAATCGACTGTGGAATGGCCTACTCTTAAAGCCCACAAATGTCCGCTCTAGATTCATTAGCATTTGGGCAGTTTTTTCGTCCAGGAAGCATAAAGTGCCAATGGTTGATTTGGGTGACGAAGATGGTTTTGCCATTTTGGGAATCAGCTGACAGAAGCCAGAAAAACAAAGCCTAATCCTAATTCTTAAACAGAAGCACATTTTAAAGCAAAGACAAAGTCAGTGCTCATATAAAATAATAATAAAAACAGGTTTGGATGTCCCTTCTCATATTGCTACTAGGGCTGTGAATCTTTGGGATTCCCACGATTCGATTTAGAATTGATTCTTGGGGTCACAATTCGATTTTTTTCAGATTCTTTTAAATCCAAACGATTCGATTCAGAAACGATTAATTTATTTATTAATTTATTTTTCTT